TAAGTAATAATTCCCGGGTAGACTAGAACAGGTGACGGATGATTTTATTTCCGTAACGGGAAAAGTATCCAGTGGGGAAACGTGCCGCTGGTTAGTTATCTATTTTTCATTGACATTCATGATGTGGCGATAAAGCATTACGTACGTACGTGTACAGTCTTTTTGCACAATGTGTAAAGCGATTTCCGGCAACAATTTGCCTTTTTTGGCGATAAAGGCGGCTGCCATCTTTCTTAAATCCGATGCGATTTTTGTTTTTACTTCAGTGTTCCCATACCCCTGAGTAACTTTCGCTACAACATGTTGCCGATGATGCCACAAAGAAACTTGTTCTATTGTATGAGCTCTTCCATTTGTACAGCTTGCGCCGCCAAGACCTGCGGACACTGGTCTGTTCCTGAATTGTTTTAGATCACGTAGTAAATACCAACGACGTTAACGTTCTCTGACCATACACAGTCGGTGCTGGATACTCCTGAGAATGGGCAGATCCTTGCAGTACTGTACTTGTATACGCATTGCCCCTAGCGAAATGTCAACCGTAGCTGGCCAGTTACAGCGGCGTTGCGCAAATTGAAATTATACATTTTTGGCATGTATCCAAAAATAAAATCAAAACAGATATGTGTTATCATTCGACAAATTTTATTAACCTGTTTTCGATCATTTAAATTAAACCAGTGTATTAAACATGCTCTATCCTTTTGCTACGTAAATTTCGAATAGACGATTTGATTCGATTTCGTTATTGTGATATCAATTGATTATATAATTTTCACGCTTATTATCTAATAAATATCAATCAATTAATCAATAACAGACAACAAATTATAATCAAATATACGGTATAAGCAAAATTTAAGAAATAATATAAAATTGATAAAAATAATTATATATAATAAATAAATAAATAAATATCATATACAGTAGTGGCAGGAAAAAATGTCAATTTTCTTTCATTTGTAAAAAATTATATGAAAATTTTTTTTATTAAATTAATATTAATATCAATTAAAAATAAATTTATTGGTATTTTAAAATATCAATAATATTTTTTTAATATTAATAGGATTATATATGTTTTATTTAAAACTTATTATTTTTAAATTTAATTTTTTATCAAGTCAAATATTAAAAAGTCTATATATTTAAAATTTTATTAAACATTCTAAAAAAAAAATTTTATAGAAAAATTTTATAACTCTTTAAATTACAAATAAAAACAATTTGTTTTTTTTTTTAATTTTTTTTTTATTATATAAAAAAATTATAAAATGGTTATTGTTTTTTTTTTATTTTTAAAAATATTTTAAATTATAAATTTATTATAAAATAAAAATATTAACCTTATTTACAAATATTAAATAAAATTTTTTAATTATATGTATAATAATAAAATAATAATAATAATAAATTATATTTATAAAAAAAAATTATATTTATAAAAAAAAAACTCTTCCATTTTCTTTAAATTTTCTCAAAACATCTTTTTTAGGAAATTTTAACAAAACAATAAAAATAACTTGTCAAGTTGTCTTTTTTTCTAAAATACTTTTTCTTTTTCTTTATTATTACTGAAAACAAAAACTCTTTTCTAGAACAAACTTATTAGTTAATATTTCAAAACTGTTTTTTTTTGTTTTTAAAAATAAAAAATTATTTTTGTTAACACTTCTTTCTTATCTCAAGTCTTGTGATACATAAGTCAATTTTAAAAATTTGATTAAAAAATTCAAACTGCTATTAATGTCTCTTTAACAAGTCTGTTACTTCTTTAAAACTATTCTCATATTATATTAAATAAAATTTTGGCTTTTCTACTTGAGATATATAATTTTTGTTTAGTTGAATCTTTGCTAATTCTTTTTTTTTTTTCTGTTATTATTTCTTTAATAAATCATTATTATTTTCTTTTTATAATCCCAATTAAAGATGGGTCCCTAAATTATTTGTGAGGATATAATTCAAATGTTCCTTATTATTAAAAATTTTCATTTCTATATTAAGAA